TGTTTCACTAGAAGAGGTACCGGATAAGTACATTAGCCTATTGAAGGCTCTTTAATCGAATACTTGGGGGAGTGTCAGAGCCTATGGTGAGGTATCGGGTGAGTTGTGCACGTCGAGTGGTCTCCATCAAGGATTCCCACTCTCTCCATTCCTATGCAGTTCTATCAAAGATGTTCTTGTTGAGGTCTCCTTCACGAAATCTGACTACATGGGGATTAAACTAATCACAAGAGAATTTTCGGTTAACCTAGAATACGCAAATGACAGTCCTTTCTTCTAGGTGAAGACACTGACAGGATGCAGAGTCTTCTGGAAACTTTGAGTGGTAATTTGAGAATTCCTGGAATGCGTTTCTTGCCACCCAAGTGTAAATTGTTGCTCCAGGACTGGTCTTCAACGTTACCGCCGACTAAGAATAGACAATGAAGTGGTTGAGCGCGTTGAACACTTCACTTACCTGAGAAGTGGAATCAGCTCTGGTGCACTGGTCAGTGGAGCTGGAGGTGGCCGACGAAATCTCTGCACGAATACAAAACTCTCGGTTGGCTTTTGTCAACTTGCGCCATGTGTGGCACCACCACGATATCCGATTGTGTCTGTTAAGGCCAAGTGTACTGTGTTGAAGTTCTACTCTATGTCTGTGAAACATGTCCACTGAAGATGGAAGACATGAGAAGGATTCAGGTGTTTGACTATTGTTGCCCCCCCCCCCCGTAGCATACTTCGTGTTTCGTGGTGTTACCACGTGAGTAATGCAGAAGTCCGATGTAGAGTTTTAGACAGGAGAGGTAAGTGAGTTGATGTAGTTGTGAAGCTTTATCGACTGAGATGACTATCTGGGATATGTGTTACATATGCCCGACCACCGACCACCACCTCATAGCACAATGTTGGTTGAAGTAGGTTCAGGTTGGGAGAAAGCTCGGCGCGGTTAGATGAAAACATGGGATCAATGTATGAATTTGAAACAATTAGTCCCTTTTATGAATTTGGATAATGTAATTAGAAGACGTAGATTATCTGAAAAATGTGATGTATTAGCGCTATACATATACACCTGCTGCTACCTAGACCTCAACGTTGTATAAACGATTGTGTCACATCCCATTGCGTTTATAAATTTACATGTGTATGTGGACAAACATACATAGGGAGGACGAATCGTGATATGCACTTGAGGGTAGGGGAACATGTTCCAAAGTGGCTACGAAAGCAGCTGGATTCACAAACATTGATAAGCGTAGATGGCAGACAACCATCATCATCCATTGCGAAACATATCATTGATAAGAGTCACATAATTGATATCAAGACAGACTTTACAATTTTGTACCGAAACTGTCAGGGGCGTATACTTAAGTTTGTTGAGGCGCTAGCCATAAATAAATTTAACCCCCCATTGTGTGTGCAAAAACAGTTTGTCCTTACATTAAGCCTACCTTGGTAATGCTTATTTTATCGTATTACCAAGATTGTTTTTAAGTCTTATCTTTTATTCCTCTCATTATCTTTCTTATTATTGAATTCCTTTGTCATATGTGTCCTTCCCCCACTTCCAGTTTTCATATATAATGCCTTAACAAGTAAATGTGTGATCAGATTGTTCGAAATGTATAGCGCTAATACATCACATTTTTCAGATAATCTACGTCTTCTAATTACATTATCCAAATGTATTAATTCGTTGACTGTTAGTTTGAGCTATGTATGGAGATACAGACTAGCCGGTTGGGGTCTGCGGGACGAAAGAAACCAGTGGTTGGAGACTCTAGGTGATATGGCTGAGAACCGATGTCATTGGTGCAGATGAATGGACACATTATCCTCACATTAACTGCTGTACTTTATCTTATTATTTTCTCATTCTACGTTCTGTTTCACTACTTTCTGCATGTCAGCAATAGGCTGCATAAATTTTATTTCAGTCATCAAAACGAACTGCATGTTAGTGGATAACATTCTAATCTCTGCTTAACTGGCTTACGTGAACAATGAAAAGTAAGATCTGGTTTTAGTTTTATACCAAGTGATGTCACATAAATCATCACAGAAAAAGTGTCACAACATTCAAAATCACAAGTTCATTGAAGTTTAAAATCTCATTAACTGCAGTTATAATAAGCGTCTCAAAGTAGCAACATACTTCACATTGCAAAGCGTGCATACTCGGCAAGAGAGAATGACAGTTTTTGGCTGTGAGAGTACCTCAGAACCAAACATTGAATTCAAACATTATTCGTTAATTCTGACTGGTTGTCCAGGTAAACAAAGTGGTTTACATACAAATTGATGCTCTAAACGTTTATCTCTCCTCATATTAACTAAATATCTTCCACCCTGCGATGAGTGTGCTTCACACTGTTAGTGAGCTTAGTGAAAGCGTAGTGACTTACAGAATCTAAATCGTTCCATCGCAGACTGAGAAACCCGTGTATTCGCAGCAGTTTGAGGCTATCTTTACTATGAGCCACATAGAAGAAAGGTTGTATGTGCCTACAAATTTACTTACTTCTACAGAGGTTAGTTACGTCAGCGCTTAGAGCGGGCACTTTCCAAACGTATCTCTCAGCACTAGTTTGTATGGCTGTCGAGGACAGAAAACAAGTCAATTAACAGCTCATTTTTCTGAGCATTTAGTCGACATTGCACATGTAGCTGGACCAAAGTCCTGCTTCAGTATCATTCATAGTGTCGCCTTATATCTATTATCACCACACAAGTTTATCATGAAAACCATAATACACAGATTTCACAACGCAGAAAATTATTTCGGAGATGAAGCTGTTGCGAACCATTGAAATACATTATAAGTGGGATGAACCATAATAAAAAACTTCTGAAACGATTACAGTCGGTATACAACAACTAGACGTTAAGCTCCTTGTGTAAAGTCATCAAGATATGGCATATGCACTACAATTATCATCACAGTTACGATTTGGCTTCCATCTCAGATGTACAAGGTTTGACAACAAACTAGCATAATTCATGTCACACAGGAGTGAGGCCTGTAGTATATATTCATCAGTTAGTGATGAAAAGATAAAGTTTTTTTAACATAGAACAATTCGAACTTCAAAAAAAACGACCAAATGTCTCCATCTTGCATAAAATCACTACACATATGACGATCATTGTGCATTTCTATTATCCGACTATTCAAACTCCTGAAACATATCCAGTGTTCGTCAAATAAATACACCTCTGGTCAGAAGACGTAGGGATGAAAGGTGGTGAGAATTCGGTGTTCGTGCAAATGAGAGAATCGGATAAAATACAAGGAGTAAGTTATACATCATGTCACAAGGAAGAAAAAAGGCGCTAGCAAGCAAAGAGGCACTAGTCTGCCACGTGACAGTGGAGTGTAAGGCGACTGACTGCTTCAACGTACAAAATCCTCAGCTGACTGGATATAAATAAAACTAACTACGACAAAATGAATGCGTTCTGCAATAAAAGTACACTAAGCGAGCGATCAACGCTACTCATCATCATAGAACAGAGTATAGAATGGCAGTCAACTGCCATTTGGCAACAGCCCCAACACTGTGGAATACCAAACCTTTATCAACTTCATTCAACAACTATATGAAGACGCCACATGCCAAGTAATTCATAATAGAAAGCTCAGTGATGCCTTTGAGGCGAAGATACGAGTAAAACAAGGCTGTCTTCTATCACCCATGATCTTCCTCATTGTGGTAGACTGGATCATGCAACAAACAGTTAGGAGCAAGATGGGGATACGCTGCTTGATCGAGGAAAAGATTCTAGAAGATTCGGATATCACCGATGATTTGTGTCTAATATCACACAAACTTGAACATCTACAGGAGAAAAATAACAAGTTGTTAGAAGACGGCACATCCTTCAGGTGAACATAGAGAAGGCAGAGGTGATGATGATACCCAACCAACACCACCGCTACCAACAACAAGCTCCAATCACCATCAACGGAAGGAACTTAAAGGAAGTAGCCTCTTTCACCTATCTAGGCAGCACCGTTTCAACTACAGGCGGCACAGGCACCGATGAAGACGTCAAATCCAGCCAAGAATCGGAAACCAATATGGAGATCTACTGCACTGCACTCAGCGTAAAATGTGAACAACACCCGGATTTTCAACCCCAACATCAAGTCAGTGCTTTTAGGGTTCAGAAACTTGGTGCGTTATGAAAGGTATTTCCAAAAAACTACAGATATGCATCAACAACTGCCACTTACGTTGTCTCGTTACTGAAGCTCAGATGGCCAGAATAATAAGAATAAACAACAAGGAAGTGTGGGGACGAACTAACCAAGAAGCTATGACTCAATAAATATGCAGTGTAAGGAAGTGGAGATGAATTGGGCATGCACTGAGGTGACTATTTGGGTATATCACGTACCAGGCTGGGTGGTTGAGTGAAACCCAGATGGGAAACGACGAGTTGGGCGTCCGAGGTGAGGGTGACATGGAGGAGATGGTATGAGGAAGAAATGGAAACTTGTGGGCTGTTGTGCAGGCAGGTTCAAAAGATTGCAGAGAACAGAGTGAAATGGCGACTTGCTACTGAAGCCCTACGTTCCACTAGGAACCCAAGGGACAAATAATAATAATGACAATAATAATAATAATAGTAATAATAATATAAGCGAGCGATCATGCTTTAATAGTCTTATGTAGGATTCAAGCAGCACTTATCATCGTCGCACACATATACAGTGAATCCATGGTCTGAAAGGGTACAAAATGTTTACCCGACTATTTTACTTTCACAAATGACTGCAACTACGTATTTCATGAAATGAGAAGTATTCTCTGATAAACGTCTAATACTGTTATTCATTCGTTTGCGTCATAGTCAATTAGTCCGAACTTAACAAGTACACTTCTCTGTAGTCATGCCCAACTTTCTAATGAAAGACTAACTATCAGTTTCGTCTACCAGCCACTGCGTATATGTCTATGTTCTCGAATTTAAAAAAAACATAGTCACAGAAAAACGAATAAACTAACACAACACGTGAATGGGATTCCTCAACCGGCATTCCTGAACAGCTGAAACGCCAAAAATGTACGGGGTTGTACTTCCCCCGTCCGAAGAATAGCACTCACTGACAGTTTTAAACAACTCGCCCAAATCTCCAATGTGTATGCTACTTTCATCGATAGTTTAGGTGAGCATTTAAGTGCTGATTCACCTCCGTGAAAGTGGAATATTACTCATTAAAGAGCGAAACCTATTTTTTTTTTCATACGGACCAAATCAGCTCATCGACCAGCTGACTTCGAATCCAACATCCAACGTCAATAGTGCGAGTAGAAGGAATTTGTAGTTTTTGAGCTCTCGCTTTTAGGTCCTGGGGCTTGCTTATTTTTGTTCGGTTGTACACCTTAGATGACTATTGAAGTCTATGCGTCTTCCTGCTCACAGCCTTGGAGATAGTGATTGTCTAGTTCCAACATCCACCATCTTTTCACGAGCTAGTGTAAACCAATTGGTTTATTCGCGCTAGCTTCTAGGTCTTGCGGAACGGCTCCAGGTCTTTAGTGGATTTCGATGCAGTAGGTCTACCCACTCGACTGCTGTAACTTTGGTTAGCCCGATATGCGGTTGGGTGTTGGTTAAATTTGTAGAAAGAATGAGTAGTTTTTTGAAGGACTGTGGTGCAGATGGGTTCCTCAAGTGTCGTATCAGCAGACAATTGGTCGGACTGGTTGCGAAAAGGAGACGGAAACTATGTCCGGAGAAACCAAGGGAGAGAAGGTGTGAAGAAAAATAAACAACAGTTAAAAGGGATTAGGAAAAAGGAAACGTACGGGAGAAGTATCGGTGGGTTCATGGGAAAGGAACGATGGGAAGGCTTTCATTAAAGTGTGAGAACGGCTTATGGGAATAGAGGTAGCAATTTTATTGGTAGGAGATGGTAACTGGAGGGAACGTCTATAGGGAAGTATAAAGTTGGACCAAATTCGCAGTGTTAGTTGTTTCTGACCTTTGGTGAGCGACTCTCACCAGTCTACCTCGAGGATCGCCACCGCGGTCGCTCCGTAGGATTCCACTGTTCAGATGACTTGGGTTACTTAGTATTTTGTAAGACGTTATCGAGTCACCGCGTAATCTACGGGTGTTGAACACCTCAAGGTGTCGTCTAATGTAGGTTTTGAATACCATGAGGAACAACCCTGGGGTTAACAGTCCGAGTTGCCTTCCTGGAAAGTGCATAATGGCGTTCGCCTTTGCTGCCATTCCCTTATAAATACCATTGGTAACCAGTATGTCAGAAAACTTTAGTCTTAAGTCCTTCTCTGGGGATATCTTAGTGATTGCACGCTTGTTAGGAGCGTAGTTGATTTTCATCGCCTCGGGTGTACGAAGATGAACCACCTCGCATTTCTTCTGGTTAAAGCCTAAACCATTTCCAGCTGACCAGGACTCCAGCTGCAACAGGTCGTTATGGAGTATCCTAGGTCCCCTTTTGTCGACCAACGTCCTCCATACTTTGATGTCGTCGGCGAATAGGAGTACAGATGAGGAGATTTCAATGGGGAGGTCATCTATGAACGGTAAAATAAGAGTGGCCCGAGGATCACTCCTTGAGAACATCCGGTTCTTGCATTCCTCCAGGTTGATCAAATTCTGTATTTTAGTGCAGGGTTCTCTGCCCTCTCGGTATGCTGTAAACCATGCCAGGAGTGGTTTAGTGATATCCGCTCTTGCAAGTTTGGCGAGCATGGTGCGGTGTCGGACGCCATAGAATGCTTTGACCAATTCCAAGAAGGCAACGTCGACTGGTTGCTGGTTCTCCCGTCTACTGGTCCAGTCGTCCCAAGCGATCATGAAGTTTGTGTCATATGACCGCTTGGTTCTGGAGTCTTGCTGGGTGGTCTGAACGATGTCGTTTCCTTTCAGGTGGTCTCAAACAACAACTGCAACCAGGCTTTCCAGTACCTTGGAAAGTATGGGGGGTGATGCTATTGGTCTGCAGTTACACGGGTGTTTTCGGTCTCTTCCCCTGAAGACTGGTGAAAGGATGGGGCGTTTCCATTCTTTTGGGAGTTGACTTACTTCCAAAGAGTGCGTGAACAGGTTTCACATGGGTATGCCTAGTACTTCGGCACAGTTGCGTAGGCCCACCGGCCTTATGCCATCACAGCCCGGGGATTTTCTTGCTCTTAGTGTTGAAAGTTTCACAAACACTTGGTTTGACAAAATCTTTACTTTCACCAGCTTTGTACCACGTTCAAAATCTTACTCATTCACCTTAGAGTTTCAATTTCTAGACTACCTCATCTCTTCGTCGTCCAGCTCTACCATTCATCAGTTTCCTTTCGTTATTAAACGTAAGTATATCCCGCGTACTTGCTGAGTCATCGGCTCACCTTTCTTCCCTTCCTTTCCCCCTTTTCCAGACCCTCATGGCGGCCACTAAACTCACACTCCTTTGCTCGCCCCCTGCCACAAACCTACCTACAGGCTGGATAAAAACTTATCAACAACTGGTCGTTACAGACCTTGTTACATTACTAGATTTTGATGGCGGATTGAGTTGCTTGTCAGATTAGCAGCTCAACAGTTCCGCTATCTCACTCCTGTTCAAAGGTTCTCCGGCCGGCACTGTGATCAGGTTTAAACCCCTATTCGTCGGTTTGCATTGTGACGTAAACCGATGCAGACGTTTTGGATGGTAACTTAATTGTTTAGCCAATTCGCCCTGGTGTGTATATTTGTCATTACGAATTGTTGTATTAAATAAGCCGCGTGACGTCATGTGGCTATGAAACTCTGATTGTTTGCGTGATTTACGCCTTCGACCCCAAGCCTTATTTTTCCTCTGTATTCGCCTTTGGCTTGCGCGAGTTACCCAAGACCGTTTGAGAGATGGCCGTCTGGTTAATTTCGGAACACTCTTATCGAAAGCGCTCCAGATAATATCTTTAATATGTATCCAGTGTTAGTTCTTTTGATAGCGAGTGGCACTAATGTGGCCATGCGGCCTCCAGGAGTCCGTTGTTCAGGAAATGGTAGCCTGCTTTTCGGTAACGGCGCAACGCTCCCGGCCCAACTGTTGGTAGTGTCCCCTTGGTTATCAGAGAGAATCTCACAAATGCGTGGTTTATTTAACCCAGAGGGTTGAACACAGGTATCGTCTACCAAAAGATCATAGCCTGTTAGAACGTGATCGAGTGGGGATCCTTTTCTATCTGGTGTTTTCCCTAACCTTCTCTCTCAGTCCTGCTGCCATGAACGTATTTCGAAGTTTACGTTCGAAAGACTTACACCCATATCTTACTTCATATCCCGGGTTGAGTGGCGTTTGTTGAAGTCTTTAGCTATGACTACATCGTCATAGGCAGCCAAGGTGGTTGTCGAAATGGCACTGAGCAAAGGGGGGGACTATATACCACTCTTAATAGGTGCCTGGTTTAGTTTATGATGAAGTGGAGCTATAAGGAGTCTGGTAGTAAGCTGGATACGCCATCAGTCGCTTCCTTGACTTTTAGATGAGTGTTAATATACATTGCAACTCCTGCGCCTTCGTTGATCCACCTGTCCTCTCAGAACAGGGTCATGTTGGACAAAGATATTCTCTCATCTGCGATGTCTGGTGACTGTCACGTCCCCGTGATGAGAATCATATCTACTTGCAGATTATGGCACACTGTTTTTAGCCCCAGTAGCTCACGCTTTAGACCTCTTACGTTGCTGTAGAAGTATACCAAGGACATACGTTCTGGGCTTAGTGCCATATGTGGACTTCTTTGGAGGCTAGTGTGCCGTTGCATTGGGTTTTGACTGCCAGTCCCTACTACCGGTGTGGCGGTATTGTTTATTGTGCCTGCAGGTAGTTCAACGGCTAGTTCTCTGACTAGCACTGCCTGTAGTATTCCTGAAATCTGCCTCCTATCCTCTAGTCTGGCAGCTCGTGGTTTACTCTCACAGCGTCATACAGCGCCTCCTATGTGGTCTTTTACACGGCACCATGCTGTGAAAGCCTCTGTTGGTGATACTTTGCAGTCAAAGCGTACAGCCAGCAATCTCGGTGGAGAAATGCTGTCTAAACGTGTAGGCCCTGGTAACCTACTTACGCTGCTGGCAGGCGAGTTTCTAGGCCCCATTTTTGCCGCTAACCACCTCCACTGCTTTACGTCATGGAGGTAATTGTCACGCTTTGTGAATCCACCTGCCAGTTCGGATATTCCATGCACCACCATGGTTGCAGCTTTGTGTAGATCATCAAGTGAGGACCTTCTCTCCCCCTCTCTGGTGACCCGGGGTTTGTCTAGTTTCACTCATACGAGGCAGGAGCCAGAGGTGTCTGGTTGGCACGACAGCAGCAGCATGTTCTCCAACTGTTTCACTGTCATTGCTAATACCCTGAGAGGTGGCGGCTTGTCTCGAGGCGATCTACTTCCCCGGGAAAGCCGGCCTGAGTTGGCCGCGGTGGTTTCTACTGTCGGCTTTCCACAGTAGTCTCCCCACTTTTCCCTGTCAGACTGTTCTCTTTTTTCTGAGCATGAGTCCGTTGTTATAGAGACGTTGAACGAAACGATGGAATCCGTTCTCCTGTCCTGTGAGTGCGGAATATTGGGCTTGGTCGCCAGTGCTTTCGGTCTACCCCTTGCCCCATTCACTTCCATCGTCCGTTCTCAGCGCAACCTACTTCTTCAGGTTGTTCGGTTCCATTGGATTGTTTGGGTTGTGGTGATACAGGCGAGGACGTTTTATGCGCCTCACTTTGAGCGGAAGCTAATTTTTCCCTATCAATAGGGGTGGCAGGTCTGCACGCTTGTACAGCTTGACAAGTTTCTGAGGGAAAGTTATTGGAGTTCGCGCTATGTAACATGTTTCGCAGTACCAGGTTTTCCAGTGGGGATAGCCGGGGATTTCTGACACCCTGGACGTATTTCTAAGATAGGGAGGTAGCCGCGTCGTTGTAAGTAGCAGTTCTTGCGTCTAATTGATTAACTGAATTGCGTCCACTGTAAAGATATGGTTGATAGCTGTTCTTCGGTGACAAACACCGTGGTGTTGCCTCTAGATTGG